CAATTCTTAGTAATAGTATAAGAGAGTTTGCTCAAGAAATATCGCGTTCCATTAGAGAATCGCGCGGAGGAGAGACGTTAGAAAAAAACGAGTCAAGGGATTATAAAAAGAATGTCGGTAGGAAAGGCACTACCCACCTTTGACGGTGACGTTCTCGAATGGCCGATGTTTAAACGAGCATTCGAGGAGAGCACGTCAAAGGTCGTTTACACTGAACAGGAAAATTTGATTCGATTAAATGAAAGCCTAAAAGGCGACGCAAAAGAAGCCGTAGCTTCACTTATGGTAACGGCTAATGATACTAAACAAATTATGCAATTATTACAACTTCGCTTTGGGAATTCGAATGCAGTTGGAACTCGTATAATGAAGAATTTAAAAGATTTGCCAAAGGTTCAAGGAATAAACAAAAATTTTATAAATTTCGCTACTAAGGTCAAAAACTGCGTATCAGCACTGGAAGCGACTAAACATCTCGGGTATCTGCACAGCTTAGAGTTAGTCCGTGAGATTATGAACAAAATGCCCTCATCTATGATTTCTAATTTTAATCGTTATATACATAATAGTAATGAAACCGATGTGCCCATGCTCGTATCCTTATCAAACTTCCTTTTCCTTGAAGCTGAGATTGCATGCAATGTAGGCGTATTTGAAACTGTCGAACCAACTGAAAATCCTAAACACACTCATAGCTCTGAAAATAAAGACCATAACCCGAAGCGATCGAGGGGGAACTACTCTGATTCGCAGAGTTCTAATACTCGCGCTTCTGAGAGAGTGCATGCCATGACTGAAAAAATGATCAAAAATTGTGGTTACTGTCTAAGTAAACATCATTTAGTCATAGAATGCCCTCAATTTGATAAATTGACCAACTCTAAACGTTGGGACTGGGCAAGCAAAAAGAAAATTTGCTTTCGTTGTTTGTTAAGTACCGAGCACCGACAAAATAAATGTCGCGAAAGCAGTTGTACCGTCTCTGGTTGTAGGAGTACTCATCATAAGTTACTTCATCGAATGGACAGATCTAACGATGATGAAGAAATTTGTGATGGGTACTCTTCTGGCCAAAGCTGAAGACGTTGTAAATAGTCGACCCTTAACCCACGTGTCGGTTGATCATCGCGAAGAGGAGATTTTAACCCCGAATCATTATTTAATCGGCTCATCGTCTGGAGCACCAATTCCCGGTAAAGATAAGCGAGTCCGTCCAGTTAACGTACGCGTTAGAAATCGAATTATGAAGAGATCAGCGGCGAACATTATAGTTCTGGTTCCTGTAGAGGAAAGTACAGAAGCTACAGGCTCACGTACTAAGGGGGAGGATGTTGAAGGCAGGAACCAGAAGTGACGAAAATAAAAGGAAGTTTGGTTGTGTTTTTGTTGTTTGGCTATTTGGTTTGGTGTAGTTTATTGTGTTGGGTTTTGTTCGTTTCGGTGGTAGGTTGTTCCCTTTTATTGTTCTAGATTCTTACCTGAGGGAGTACGACAACTATCACAGCCAGCCTTTATACCTGAAGGGATTAAAGAAAGGAAAGTCCTACAGAATAAGAAAAGTGGGAGATCAGCAAAGGGAAATTTGGGGTTTTCCCAGCTCGGGCCAATCCAAATTTCCCAGACGTGAAGAAGTGGGGTTCCCAGCACGGGACGCTTCAAAGAATACGTCATCGATGCATCTCGCTCTTATTTCTACCCTCGTGGAGTGGAGTTCTCAGAGTGAGACGCTCCACCGAGTTTGACTTCGATTTGAAATATCCGAACTTTTCCCCTCTTTTCATTTTGTAATTGCTAAACAGTGAACTTAAATTTGTATTATTAACAAAAATAAAAAACTATTAGTAATAACTCATTTCTTTTAAATTTTATTTGCCTCGCCCGACATGGGGACCAATCCCGGTTGGTAACAACACGGTTAATCCAAAAAAACAATTTTCGATTGCAATAATATAAAGAAATCGCCTCGATCATGATTGAAAGACAAGCAAAAAGATAAAATCAGAATTAATTTTTTCAATGAAATTTTTTTTTGTTGAAAAATACTATCGCGATAATACCGTTACTGTGAGATGTCGTTGGCTTTTTTCAGTTCGTTTCCTCGGGAAGGTCACGAGGACGAATGTAGTCGTCGAACCTCATCGAGAGAGAAGAGAGAGAGAGAGAGAGAGAGAGAGGTTGAACCTCTTAACAGTGCGTGTTAAAGGACGATCGCTCGGCCGTTAAGCCAAAGAAGCAAGGTGTAGTTACCCAATCAGAGCGAGGAGGAAACAAAAGAAAGGTGAAAAGAGAGACTTATCGCCTCATGGAGATCGAACCTTACATCCTGCATCCTGGTTAAATTACAAAAAAAAATACAAAAAACAAGCGTGAAACATAAGAGAAGCAACGGAGAATCCAAAAAAAGCAGAGCCACTCGAACACGGTAATTATTATTGAGTGATTGTTGGTAAAGAGTAGGAGTAAGATGATTCTTCATCTTCTCCATTATACTCTCGAGAGGAAGTCTTAACGAACCAATATATATATAAAGCCAAAAAGAATCTTTTCTTTCCGTGGCATGGAAATATTCCATGGACTAATGGATAAAGAGGCACTGGGTCACTCGCTCTGCATTCACGTATATATTTCTTATAGGTCAAAGCTTTTTTTCCTTAAACATCAACGATTAAAAAGGGAGCTTTCTTGATAGCTTCTTTCTTCTTCAAAAATAAAATTTTTAATTTTTACATTCAATATTTTTTACAGAGTTGGCACAAAAATTTTATTTTATTTTTCTTCTGACTTTTCGCTCGTTTTCAGAGAAAATTTTGACTTTTTCTCTGACTTTAACGAATATTCTGATTCACTAAAAAAATTAACAGATACTCAAAAAATGTTCTATTACATTTATTTACGAATTTTTTTAATTGTAAAATTATTCGAAAACATCAATAGTTTCATATAAAATAAATATTTAATTATTGTTTTTTTTCATTGAAATTAAGATTTACAAATATTTAAATTCAAACCTTTTTGAAATTCAACAACTTATAAGAATATTATTATGAAACATAAAGAAATCAATTACTCCAAAATATTAATAAAAATTCGATTAAAATTGTATAAAAAATAATTAAAATTCTGCGTTGAGTTTATTATGAAATAAATTATTATTTATTTATGAAAATAATTGAATTATTGCGAAGAAATTTATAAAAAATTTGTAAATAATTAAATTTTTGTGTAGAATATTATCAAAAAAATTTTTTAAATAATTTAAAAAATTAAAGTTTTTGCATTAAAATTCGTGGTAATTTCATAGTTTATGAGGCAAACAAAAAAGACACAAAAGTTCATAATTTTCTCATGAATTTTAAAAATTAAAATATTTCTAGTCACAACTTCTGATACGAATTCTGATAAAATTTTCCTTTCATAAAATTAGTTTTTCACTAAAGACCTAATAGAAATTTTTGTTGCATCTTTTCTTTTTTCGAATTTATTAAAAAGAGGAAATTCTCCCATGCGGCGGAAGTTGTAAAGAATATTGCATTTCTCTAAAGTATTCTATTTTCATTTATCTTTAACGACTGTCTGCAATAAGACTTCAGATGATTGCATTATGGCATTTCTGATAAGGAGATTGAGTGTTCAGGTACACTTCTTAATCGTTTTGACGTGAGCTGAAAGTTTACTGAAAGAGAGAATTTTCCTCCAAACAGTCTTTTTTTCTTTAATTAGTATCCTCTTTTTCATTCTTTTTCTTTTTTTACACATTTTTTACTTTTCATTTTATTTACACGAGAGTTCAAAAAAGGGTTTTATTTTCAATTGCACAGAAATTGCCGCATATAAAGTGATTATTCCTACCGGAAGACAATTTTATTATTTATTTTTTTTCTTTAAAACTTGTTATTATACTTTTCTCGTCATCATATATTTAAATCATTGATTTAGTTAACATAATTGACTGAATTAATTGAAGTAATTAATGAATTAATGATTGAATCAATTAACTAAATATAAATGTTTGCGTGGCTGTGTGGTATCAGTTTACGATTTGTGTATTTTAAGGTGCAGGGTTTTGACTCACACCCTTAGGTGCGAGATTACTTATTCTTATTTTTCTTACTTTCAATTAGTAAAAATGTTTGCTAATATACTTTTTGCTTTTGAATTAGTAAATTTTATTAATAAATAGTCATTTCTGCTAATTTATTAGTAAAATTTACTAATTCGATCCTGTTTCAAATTCAAGGAGTACCGGTATCTAGTTAGTCCCCCATTTTCCAAAGTTTTAATTTATTTTTCAATTCTAATAAATAATTTGATTAATCAACAATTATTAGTTATATTATTATATTATTATTATCTATAATTAGTTGCATCTATTGAATTAATTGAAATATTGTTCGCGTTCGTTAAATTGATAATTAATAATTATTTAAATTGTTTGAATAAATTAATTATACAATTAGCTGAATTTTAAGTTAAAAATAATTTTATCATTTCTAAAACGTTGTCTTATTCTTCACATTTTAAAAATTTTTTTTTCGGTATTTATTTATTTTACATTTAATTTATTTTTAAGTCGACTTTAAGCCCATTTTGTAAATCTCTTATTGTCAGAAATGTTTCATTCAAAAATTTAGGTTAATGTATTTTAAATTTTCTTTTCACGTTTAAAATTTCGTTGAGTCTTTTTTTCTTCTTAATCTCCCTGGAATCATTATTTTTAATCTTTTTATTCATTTCATCTTCAATTAATTGTAAGTCTAATTAATTATTCCTTTTAATCTCGTTTTAATATAATATAATTATAATTATAATTATTTAATATAATTAATTATAATTAATATAATTTTTTTTATCTTCACTGTAAAAAAAGAGCGTCTTGGTTTAAGACGTTTACGTGGTCACTTCTAAGACGTTTATAAGCGTCTTATTTGCCTAAAATGTTATAGGTCGTGATTTAGGAAATAAATAGGTATACACATATATTTCTGTAAAAACACGTTTTTATTTCAAATATGAAACAAAACAAAACTTTAAAGAAATCCTTCTCTTGTTCTTCATTTTGAGTCTCAAAATTAACATTTTCATTCGAAGTTTTGTCAGGAGGTGGAGCATGGTCATTTCCATTTTCTTTATTTTGATTCTCAATATTAACATTTTCATTCGAAGTTTTTTCAGGAGGTGAAGCATGGTCCATATTTTCTGATTTATTTTGAATTTTATTCTCGTCAGTTAATAAAACGTTGTTTTCTTCCAGCCTTATTCTTTTTGCACTCTTGGTATCGAAAAATGGTTCCCTTTTTTTGGTGGTTTTCGCTGTTTGGTAGTATTTGTTAAATACTTAGGACAGTCAGGGAATATTCTTGGAATACTGCCGTGTTTCAGATACGGTCTTTTTAATTTCGCCTAAAAAAATAATAATTTAAGCTCACTTTTTACAATTTAAAATTTGATAATTATTGAAAGTGTACCTATATTAAATTGTTTAACAATTTTTTTTCAAAAGTCAACTACATTAAAACATATATTATAATGAATATACATAAATACATTTATTAATTATTGAAATAATTCGCATATTTTTTTAATAATAAATAAATTTCTTAAACTTTAAAAATATTTATACATACTGATGACATGACAGATCCATCTGGAGCTTTCACTTCCTTCTTCCAAACAATGTCATCTTCTAAAAAGTGTTGTTGACATACAACCTGTCCACTTTGCACAACAAAGTCTTTGCGAGGAATCGCTTTTTGCCATTGTTCTACCATTTTTTCATCATCTGGCACTGAGAATAAACTAAATTTTTGCTTACAAGAAGCATAACCTGCTTTGCAGTTCGGCACTATACACTTGCTTCCCTTGGAGGGAGCCATTATTTTAATTTTATTTTAACTATATATAGGATATATAGAAACACTTAAATAATGAATCTTAATACACTAAATATAATTTAAAAGAAAAACGAAGATAAAATTACACTAAATTAGAAAGAAAACTCAAAAACGCTAATAATCACAACGACTTTATAATGCATTGCAAATTTGTACATAGGGTGGAATGAAGGTAGCGCCGCTAGAGACGAACTAAACAAGTGGAATCGCTAAGATACAACAGAATTTCGGTTCGTTGGATAGGTCTGCATAAGACGTTTATAAACGTCTAAACGTCTTATTTTGAGACGCCATTTTTTGCAGTGTTGTCATTTTTCTTTTAAGCGTCTTTTTATTTTTCAAATATTTCTGTTTTCCCTTAAACATTTTTTATAACGTGTCTATTAATCTTTCTCATTCATTTTTCAATCCTTTTTTTTATTTTTATTTATTTAAAATGCACAGGTTAGCAACTTATTTTTAAGTATTTAATTTTTTTAAAAAAAAGTTTCCGTGAATGAAATATTTAATTGAAAATATTGAAAATAATTGAATTTTGAAAAATTAAAATAAAAAAACTCTAAGAATTACTTTTTTAAAAAATCTTTTAATATAATTTCGAGAAGCCATAATTTTCATTAATTTTTATTTTTAAATTTACACTTGAAGATTTTTCATTAAAATTTTTGAGAATTCAATTATTTTCAATATTACCAATTAAAAATTAAAATTCTTATGAGAAGTTGATTTTCAAAAATTGTAATAAAATACTTGAAAAGAATCAATTATTTTCAATTAAATTTTACAAAATTTCATTTATTCAAAATCGTTGTAATTGTATACTTCGAAAATTTAATTTGAAAAGTTATTCAAAAATAATTTTTTGTAAGATTTGACTATAGTTTTTTTCCACACTTTAAAGAAACTACAAATTTTTCAAATATTCCATGTAAATTTTTGACCTGGGTCACTTGACGTGGAACCCGTCTTATATGGAAAAACTTTGGTGAATTTTAATCGTTTTTGGTAAAAAAACAAACAAAAATCGTCGGTAGCGTGAAGGTTAACTATATTGGTATTTACAAACTTCGTTTATAGTGAGCCTAGAATAATACATTTTTTTCGTAATTTTGCAATTTATTGTACTTTATATAATTACTAATAAAAAAATATGAATAAAATTGTACGAACAATTTTTAGACAAATAATTAATAGTATTTACTAACTTTAAAAATTTTAAACAAATAATTCTTATTATTTACCAAATTTGTTTACAGCGAGTGCAAAATATTAAAAGTTATTAAAATTTTTATAAATACCGATAACAAATAGAAATTAATTTATTTAAATATTTTCTTAAACAAATTACTTTTTGTTATTTGTTTAAAAATTGTTTAATCAATAATTTTATTCCTTTTATCTATCGGTGTTCTTATAAACCTCATCTAATTATAAAATTAGGTAAAAACTGTATCATCCATGTGCATTATGTAAAAAGCTAGTAAATAACAATAATAATTTATATTAACATTTTTTTAATAATATTTCGAACTAGTTTATCTAAATATTTTATTGAAACGACCAAAATTTCAATAACTTTTACAGAATTAAAGTAAACTTTCACGGAATGAAATTCTGAAAAGTCAGTTCTTGAAAATCAATAGAATTTAAATCATGCAGTTTTAGACAGAACTCCAAATGCACTTTCTAAATTTTAATCAGTAAAATTTCACTGGTAATAAAGTGGGAATTTAGCAACTGCAGATTCCAATTTAAAGAAAAATTAAATATTTTTTTAAAAATTAGTCCGCCATATTGGATCCTCTATTTTGAATTTTTAAAAACGGACTTCAGATTCGTAATCAGCGACCCCGAAAACCTCCATATACCAAATTGCAAGAAAATTCAATAACTTTTTGAAAAATTGGCCGCCATATTGGATCCGCCATTTTGAATTTTTAAAAATGGACTTTAGATTCGTAATCAGCGACCCTAAAAGCCCCCATATACCGAATTGCAAGAAAATTCAATAATTTTTTAAAAATTAGTCCGCCATATTGGATCCGCCATTTTGAATTTTATAATTCAAAATTTATACATGTAACCAGAGATCCGAAACACCATTATATACTTATTTATGTAAAAATCCAATTGTTTTTTTTAATTTGTCCGCTTTTAGAATTAATGATTTAAGCTTATTTTTCTAATTTTTACACTAACATTGTTTATTATTTATTAACAAATATTTCATAAATATGAACTTCTGAAGAATTGTATGACAATCTGTGGGTCTTAAGCTTTAAGTTGCAACTTAGTAGATGTATTTAGAATAATTTGTTTAAAAGTTATTAAACAAAATGTTTGGACGACTATACCCGTGTAGAAATGGTGGTCGGGTTCTAGTGGGGACCTCACCAGTTTACCCCATTTGAAAAAAGGCTCCAACTAGAGAAACTGGTGGGGTTCTAGTCGATTTTGTCACGCTCTAGTTGATAGGGCCCCGACTAGAAGTTCTAGTTCACTTCTACCGGTTTTAAAAATTATTATTTTTCAACTTAACTTATTTATAATTGAATTCTCCATTCATATTAACATTATTAATGATTGTTGCACACGAAAAATCTCGTGCCTATGAGGGTTCGAACCTTGGACCTTGGGGACACCAGACGGATACACATACCTCTCGGCCATGATAGGTTGGATGGACTTCCGCTTAAAGTACATCCCGTTTGGAAATTCCGCCATTTGTCCCTATCTCTAGTAGGGCTCTCGCTAGATTCTGACTAGAATCTCTAGTCGAGAAAAACTAGTCGGGTTCCAATCTAATTCTAGTTAGATGATTCTTACAAGCATTATTTATTAAAAAAGTTTGCATATTATTTGATTTATACTTAATTTTTTAATTATTTAAACAAAATCTTTTATTTATTAAGTAAATTAAAAAAGAATAAACCATAAATAAATATTAATTATGTGGATATAATTAATTTTTATTAACTAAATATTGTAATATATTATTTATTATTATATTATTTATTATTATTATTATTTATTAAAACAATTATAGTAAATATAAAAATATAAAAAGTAATGTAATAAATTAGTTATGTTTAATTTTTCAATAACGTTATAGATATAATTAATTCATAATATTTTGAATTTTAGGGAGTTATTATTCATCACTCTTATTTAACTCTGCATTCCTAATGATAGTTAATAATAATTAATTATGACATTATTGAAAAATTAAACATTACTAATTGCAGTGCTTTTTATATTTACTATAATTATTATAATTATATTATTCAATTTATTATTGTAATTATAATATTATAGCATCTTTTTAATTATTATTAAATACTTGCATTAATTGTGAAAAACATTTTAAAGTATAATTGCACATACATATCTTTTTAAAAAAAAATTATTTTTACGAATAATATTACAATATTTAGGTAATAAAAATTAGTTATACCCACATAATTAATATTTATTTATGTTTTATTCTTTTAATTTACATATTAAATAAAAGATTTTTATTTAATAAAATTGCTTTATTGGAATTTTTTGTAAAAATATTCTACAATATTTAAAATTTTGTTTAAAAAATGTTAAAAAATTAAATAATTAAATAATATGCAAAATTTTTTAATAAATAATGCTAGTAAGTTTTTCTATCTATTAATCTGAATTATTTATATCTATAGAAAGATAATTTATGTATGTCATACTTGTACACTAGTTTGTCTAGTTTGAAATCGATAAGGTCCTAGTGAGTTTTTTCCAGTCTGAATTATCTAACTAGAATTTGATTGAAGCCCGACTAGTTTTTCTAGACTAGAGATTCTAGTCAGAATCTAGCGAGGTCCCTACTAGAGATAGGGACAAATGGGGAAATTTCTACACGGGTAGTCGTCCTTGTGCATACGGAAACAACTTTGTTTGGACGACTATAGTCGTCTTTATGCGCAGGAGGGTAAATCGAAATAAGTTCCACATTTTATACTATAAAGGTATGTTTTTGCAATATTTGGAAAAAAGTCGAAAAAGTCGCATTTTTTAAAAGTAGTCGAAAAAAGTCGGAAAAGTCATAATATCCGAGGCCTGAATGAAAAATAAGTTAATAGAGAAAAAACAAGGGAGCTGAGATGGTCAAAAAAGAAAAAAAACAAGAAATGTAAATTAGAAGAATCAAAATGAAATTTTTGAAAAAAGGACAATCAAAACGTGGACTTATATATAAAGGACACGATTCGTGAATATATAAATTTGTTTTTTTTTTCAGACACAGAGGTTTGCGTGCCAGGAAGTCGAGGTCGATTAGTAACGCGATTAGGAGTGACACGAAGATATATAATTGGTCACTGTTTCTAAAACTGGACCGCCAATGACCAGGGGCGAGTTACAACGGAATATCTCAGTAAATGATCTGTCTTTGAGAAACGGTACTGTGCTTGGTTCACCGCATTTGACCCCTTGCTCCCTTCCGTCAACATTCCTGACCACGCTACTACCGTTTCGTGGTTTTTAACTTTAAAAAAAATAGCAAAAAAATTAACACACACGCACACACCTCTAATGATTCTCTTTTGCATATTTTAATTTTTCATATTCTAGTTCAGAAACCTCAAAAACCGCCTCTATTTGGGCAACAAATGTTCATTAACATTTCGCGACCCCAGTTTCTCGTGGACATTTTCTTTCTCTCAGAGACAATACAAAAACAAGAATTTTTGAATTTACAGCAAAAATTATTTTTCAATTTTTTTTAATTCGGAAAAAGCAAGAAAGATATTTTTGAAAATAATTTTATTTTTCTATTTAAAATTTCAATTCAATAAAATAAATCCTTTCAATATTTAACCCATTCAATATTTTAAGAGAAAATTAGGCGAAAAAATTATCATTATTAGAAGCCAAACAGTCACATGCTGTTAAAACAATTTACATTAAATATAATTAAAAATTCAATTCTAGTACATAGTAAATTTATTAAAAGAAAAAAATAAAATAAAAGAAATTTATCAAATTGAAAAATACAAAAATTATCTCCTATCAATTAATATAAATATTTAAAAGAAAAGGGTTGAGTTAAATTTTGCGGTAAAATTAATTTTCCCCTCCCACACCTTTCACCTTTTTAGTAATTGAAAATCCGTATAGTTCACAATCTCGAGGCCATTCAGGGAAAGTACGAGTTGATCGTAAATCAAATTGTAACGAGCGCTATCATTAGCAATGATAATGTCATGGTAATGCGTGCCATTTGCGGTGGAGCGATCCAATCATGAATATAGAATCATATAATTATAAAGAGCGAACTAATTCCTATCAATTGTAATAAACCAAAAATCTCTTAAGCAACGCAATCGGAACGAATACAATATTTAGTTCATTGTACTTTAAACATCGCCTTCAGTCAATTCACAAGAAATAATATATAT